CAGGGACCTGTTCTCTCTCCTCTCCAGACTCGGATCCCTTTTTTCCCAGTGCTCCCCCTGCTCCTTGGCCTCCCCTAGCTCCTTCCCAAGGAGCCACCTGGGCTCCTGCAGCCAGCCCAGCCAGTTGCAGGGTCACTCTCTGATCAATGCCAGCTTGGGTTCCTCTGCCAATTGCTCTTCCATTTGAGCGGCTGACCTTGGCATTTCCGGAACTGTGTCATGTGGTGTCTGCCTTTGTAGGTGTGTACTGAACGATGATGAAAAGCTTTATTTTTAGACAGCCGTCTTCTTTCCCAACCCTTTTTACTCCCCCAGAAATGTCCTCTTGCTCAACCTTCCTGGGGTTCCGATGCAGTGGGGCCTTGATTTTGCAGTGGTACGGATGAGGGGCCCTGGCAGTCACCACACTTCCCCTGGAAATGTGTCCCTCTGGACAGGCCTGGTGGGTCACAGGGCCTCAGGGTGGAGGGTCAGTCGAGTCACCCAGTTCTCGGGTCCAGAGGGACTGGCTGGTCCCTGGGGCAGGACTCAGGCCTGAGAGTCTCTGCCTGGGGTCCATCTCCATCCCTATCTCATCATTGACCACATTCCTCCTCCTCCATGCAAGCCTCAATGGTTCTGCACGGGCTGCCCTGGACCCTCCCACTCTCATCCTGGTCTTTCATTCCTTCTCTTTGGGACTGAACTTTCTCTCAAGGATGGTCTGACTCTTTCTCAAAGGCTGCTGCCAACGCCATGGAGTGTCTGGCTTTAGATGTGGGGATCCCCTCTGCACCTCTGCTTCTTGCAGGCCCAGCTGTTGCAATAGTCATCCCTGGTCATGCACCGGGATACAGTGTGACAGGTAGAGAAACTTCAGAGGAGGCTACATCTTACTGGGGCACAGAATAAAGTAGGCATTTTAGTGGGGGAAGACGTGGAAACCATTAAATTGAAACGGGTTTTCTGCAGCTACAATCTATAAAACTATGACTAATCAAAAGTTGGCAAAGATTTTTTTGATCCCTCCTTGGTCACAAATTCTTTGAACTCTGAAATTGAAAAAGTCCCCCATCCACTCAAGGCTTGTGTTGGTTGTGATTTGAGGCCTTCTGTTCCATGCAAACAGCAGGGCTCAGCCAACCTCACTGCTTTCCTTGGGGGATTCTGGTGCAGGTCTCGGAGTGCAATGATCCTGGGTGTCTCTGGAGCCTATTGTCAGTGCCAATTCTTAGCTGTTGTGTTTGAAACAAGCTGGGAGATTCAGGGTTGGAGCTCCTAGAGTAGAGTCTGTGCTGAGGAAAGGCTGGTGTCGCTGTGCCCTCGGCTCTCAGGGTGTTCAGACTGCTTTGCAGGCGTTTGGCATTCACTGAAACCAGCATGGACCATGGCACCTTCTCCATCCAAGTTCAGAACCAGATGTGTTTTCAAGCACACACAACCCAAGTCCACCCAGATGTTGATGCAGGGTCTGAACCTTCCACACCCCAGAAGCATTTGGATTCTCTCCTCAAGAAGAGGTCAGCTAACATTTCCCTATTTCCCAGGCGAGGAGGTGGGGAAGGAGTTTGAGCTCTGAAATGCACCCAGATTTTGGAGACCTGTGGAATCGTGGGTTCACCGGGGCAGGGTGCCATCCTCCACGCCCTTCTCCCTGTGACCCACACCACCTCCCATGGGTCTCTGACCAACCTGGGCTTGCTGGTAGACCTGTGGCCTCTTTCCAACCCTGGGAGGTGTAGCTCTAACCTGCTGGAGATATTTGGGCCTTTCTTTCTTTTAAAAGGTTTTTAGAAAAGAGATTTTACAGTATTTTTTAAAATAATCTGAAAAGCCAATCTGTATATTTGTAAATTTCAATTTAGGTAAAAGAATAGTTCATTTGCTATAATGAAACCAGCTTATTTCCTTTTGGGCTTGCAATTTTCGGAGTTCTTGTTATTTTAATCATTCAGACACTCCCCTCTGAAAACTTAGGGCTTAGGCTAAATGTAATCTAAAAATTTTAAATAAGTTGTCACTGCATGTTGTTAAAAACCTCCTTTAAACTGGGAAGAAAATGCAATATTTGATGATCCAGGATCTGATGTAGAAAGTCAAAAGGGCTAAAAGGATGTAGACAAAAGTCAGAATTTATCTAGGATGAGCAAGGACTCATGTTTGGAAGCCTCTCGGGAAGCAGTCAAAGAAAACCATATGGCAAGAAGCATTGGGGACTTAGTTTAGGACTAGAGTTAGATTTTTCTTTATCAGTTGTTAACAGTTTATGCCACACAGTCTTGGATTGATTTCTTTAAAAATATTCAGAAAGAACAGTGAGCTCTGGAGGGTCCCGTAATGTTAATGTGCAGTAATGCTGAATACAGTTATTTTGGATGAGAAGCTGGAATTGGCCAAAACTTGGCAGAGTTAACTGGAGACCCTGTTCCTATTTCTGAACTCTGTGGGCCATGAAATTATCAGGTGTGGTGGCACATGATGGCAGCATGCCCTGAAGGGCCAGTGTGACAGCCCTGAGGTTGTAGTTGCCAAATGTGCTGACACGTGGCAGAGTCCATGGTTCCAGAGTGAGAAGAAAGGATTTAGGGGGAAGTGTTTACAGTTTGAAAAATTGGAATACAGAGCTGCCTTCAAGACTACAGAGTGTCGCTTATGTCCAGTCCGGTCTGTAATCTCGCTTTGGTTGCTGTTGCTGTGGAAAACCCTGCTGCACAAGATAGGATGCTGGAAATAGAACCGGGTCTTTCAGTGCTTGATGAAAATTGCAGGATATTCTTCCCTGTCTAATCCAGAAGGCGTGGAGGTTTCAAGTTGGTTCAGATGTACTTTTAAGGCCACCATCTCTTGTGATTTCAAACAGCCGATCTCCCAGCATGCACCAGCTTGATTCACCTGGCTTATTCACAAAACGCTCATAGAATCATCCCTTCCTGGTTCCGGCATCTTCCGTAGTTAGGAAGCAATGCTCAGACCCTCTGGAAAGCTGAGATAGATGGTTTTGCACCAGCTGGGAGAAAGAAATGTCTTGGCTCTGTCTCTCAAAATCTCTGTGAGTGTTTGAAGCATGTCACAAATTACAAGTCACCTCCCGCCCCCATAATTCCAGTTTGGCTTTGAATGCATGCATTTTATCTGCCAGCTTGAACACAGTTCTTATATTCTCCTGAAGTGACAGATTGAGTTCATTGAGCAGGTTGAATATGTCACATGAGTAAGCAAGTTTTGCAACCCATTCTGTGTCACTGAAATTGCTGTCAGGGATGACTATTTTTCTAAAAGAAATCTCTGCAGTGGATCTTGTTACTCAACAACTCTGGCCAGCAGTCTACCTCTAAAGAGCCATTTAACTGACTTCTGTGTATAGAAAAGATGTGTATGCTTGCCTCTGTCTTCTCCCAGGGCTGCATGAACAGAAGAGAGTTAAGGGTGAACAGATTGATGTTGTTGATACTTTCATCCCATCCTGCATTTCTCTGTGGATGGCATGCTGTGTGGACTCACATTGAGTAGCATCTTTTTGACTGATTAATGAAACCAGAAAGCTGTGCACGCCACCCATCATGTACTGACACAAAATGACCAATTCAGTTTTCTTGATATGTAATCATTCAAAGACCTGAATAGCTCTTCAGCAGTGGTGTTGGTTGGCTGCAAAAGAGTGTGCATACCCATGTGTACATCCTCCTGAAAAATTTAGTATGTGAAAACAATCTTTATTCCCAGTATTGGTAGACTCACCACCCTCAATTATATACTGCAGCAAGTCATTAATTCCCTTGAACAATTGTGCCTCAGTGTCCTTTGCTAGTTTCGTAATTTCTCTAGTTATGGTGCTAGCCAAAAGAAGAATGTATGCCCCTTTTGAGCTGCAGCCTCTCCTGAAAGTTCAGGACAGATTTCCTGGCAGCAGGCAGGTTGCTTCTTCTTTAACAAGAGCTGCTTTAGCAGTGCAGTTGGCCACTGAGAATGGTGCTCTCAGTGCAGACACATTTGAGGAAGTGGTGGCCTTGATTACTTCCTTCTATTGCTCATGTTTACTTTTTTGTCTTTAAAAAAATCCCAACAGCTTGCCTTTCAAGGGAGGTGCTTGGTTTCCATGTGGTGGAGCAGTGTTGAAAGTTTCATTGCTGGGGAGCTGATTATCGTATATTATATGAAGTAATACCATATATTATATGAAGTAATACCATACATTATGTGAAGGGCTGCATCTGAGAGTCTTCTGCTGTCTCATCACTGGGCCTTTACCCTTCTCTGAAGAAGCTTTCCAGTAACATTTATGTTTTACTCATTCTGGTGAGCGTTAACTGTGTGTTTACAAGTCAGGTGCACAGTGTGAGAAAAAAACATGGATGATGATAGGCAGATTAAAATAAGTGTTGGATATTGACTTAAAGCTGCCATTAGATGCAACTGTGTAATTGAAGTACAACAACTCACTCATCACTATACAGCCTGCCACCAGTTGCAGCTTAGTTGTCACTAGCTGCTCATTAATGATTTTTTAAAATTTAATTTTTTAATTTTTAATTTTAAAGGGGATAAAATTAAACACAACAAAACAACAAAATAGGACATAAGAAAGCAATGTAAGACATATAAGCTAGATGACCTGAGATCTTCACTGTCTTATCATATTGCCTGCTATTTTCTTCCAAATATTGTCCATGTCTTCGCATATAGAGAATTCATACAAAACAACATAGCATAAAACTGATCCGAACAGAATGAGGAAGGTAATTTAGGCCTTCAAAACCAGACAACATGGAAGTCACTAATGGCTGTTGTAGAGTCTCTCCTTCTCTTCAAAATAGCTGTCCATATTTTCATGTATATTGAAGTTCAACAAAACAAAACAGGCAGTGGGGATGGGTTGCTTGGTTTCCCGGCTCTCCAGGTCCCAGCATGGCACAGGTCCCAGTAAACACTGGTGGCTCCTGTCCTAGGCCACTGGAGCCTGCCACACTCACAGCCGCTCACAGCTGCTCACGGGAGTGGCGGGGGAGGGGGGGCTTGCTTCAAGCTGTTTCTTTCTAATGAATTGACCATTTCACTACCCAAGTTCTGAAATAGCCAACAGATCATAGAAAGACATCTCTTTAGGCTCCTGCGTGAAACCAATGGCATCAGGAAGTGCTGGCCTTGATTCAGGGCCAGATTAATGGGGTTTTGATTCAAGTGTGCAAGCAGCGATATGTTATAGTCTCTGCACAGCCAGACCCCTCTGCTAATGTTCATCTGGATTTGCAGCTACTCCCCAGGGCTATCAGCACTGCCTCAGTTCCACCTCAGCTTGTCAGAATTAGGTTCTCACAAGGAGAGTGTTCCTAGATTTCTACATGCACAGCTGTAGGGTTCTCTCTCCTAGGAGAATATACCACCACTGCTGATCTGTCAGGAAGTGAAGCAAGCAAGTAATGCAAGTGGCTGTAAATACAAACCTTTGCTCACTGCCCACTGTTCATCTCACCTCTGGAACACAGTACCTACACTCACAATGTAAAGGAGAAAAGGTTTAATTTTGGCTCACAGTGGATTGGGGTTTCAGTCCATAGTCAGCCGGCTCCATGGCAGAAGAGAAAGAGCTCATGGCAGGCAGCAAGAAACAGAGAGATGAAGAGTGGAGCAGGAAAGGGATAAACCCTAGCCATGTCTCCAGTGACCTCCCCTTCAGACCAGGCCCTACTCTTAACAGCAAGCCAGCCACAACACCCATGATCCAATCAGCTTCCAGAAGCCCACCTGGGAGCACAGGAGGCTTTGGGGAGATCGCCAGATATGAACCATAGTGATGGTTTCATGTGTCTGAGCCTGAAACACACAGTAATGACATCTAAATAAACACAGAAGATGTAGTTACTCAGTGAGGAACCCACATTGGCACCTCTCCAAACTGTGTGGAGGATGAAAGAAGGAAGAGGGGTCAGAGAGACCCATGCCAGTGAGTGTCTTTCCTGTACTCAGTGAGCCTTTCTATTAGAAACTGGGTCCAAGGAAGAGGTTGGACTTTGGACTGACTGCATTCCTTTTGCCTGGGGAGAAGCACAGGAGGGAGAATGCAAGGCAAGCCGATGGACGCCAGCCCTGCACTTCTGTGCGCACCACCAGCTCTGGTGACATCTGGGTGATTCTGGTTGAGAGGTGGAGCAGCAGGGTGAGTGGGAGGCAGACACTCCGTGTCCAGGCAGCCTTCACATGGGAATGCTGGGCTAAGGTGATGTGAGTTTGAAAGTGGACCGTGTTTGGGGTGACGTGCTTCTGTGCATCACCTTGGGCACTGCTCCTGTCTGCCCTAGGCCTCACCTGCCAGAGAGAAGCAGGGGCTGCATTAGGAGGCAGATCATGGAGATACCTGGTGGCAAAGCCGCCTCAGCCCTGCTGCTCAGGCGGCTGCTCAGTGGTCAGGAGTCCTATGTGTGCTCGGAAAACACACTGGGTAGAGACTGGGCAGAGGGTGCATAGCCTGTGTTCGCCACATTTTTGTATTTTGTGTATGATTCAAAGGTGAGGAGTGGTAATGTTTACTGTCTTCAGTCTTTGAAAATTCTACAGTCAAGACCTTAGTTCTCCCACCATGATGCAAGCTGGTGTTTTATGAATTGATCTGAATGGCATGATCTAAGATCGCTTGAGTTTAACATCTTTAATAACAAAAAAGGCAGATCCCACTGGTAAATTATTCATTATAAAAATCATATAATATGTGACCATCACCTTGCAAGTCAGCCACCATTTACATGACATGTAAACCCAGAATGACTTGGGATATCAGACATGAAATATGACATATACTTTCATTTGTCTTCATATTGGCCCAAAGAGTTGGGGTCCTCCCTCTCCTGGCCTGATTTCAAATGTCAGGAAGTTTTGTGTTGGTCCAGATGATGGGGGTCAGTTTCATTTCTGGGTGAGATTTCCAAGGAGGGCAGCCTTGAGCTGCCAGCAGCCTGGTACAGGTCTTCCCAGCCGGCTGGGCCCTCTCTCACCTCCAAGCTGGCTGGGCCCAGCAGGCCCAGTGCTTGTTCTTCTCATCCTGGACTGGACCACATATGGGCTTATATTTTAATTTATTGTTTATGGGAAAATACATGGCCCCTCAATTCACGAACTTAATTCTTTCCATGATTCTGGTTGCAAACCAAATTGGATGAGAACCAAGTCATCTTCAGTGGTTAGGTTCAGTGTTGACCTTATGGGAAAATTTATGCCATCTGTGACTTGATTTTTTTTTTTGATACCAGGGCTCGAGCTCATGACTTTGCACTTACCAGGCAAGTGCTTCAACCACTGAGCTAAATCCCCGGCCTTATAGAGAAATTTAATTTGGTTCTCATCCCATTTGGTTTGTGACCAGAATCATGGAAAGAATTAAATTTGTTAACAGAGGCACCAGTATAGTTATGAAGCCGTGAGATGTGATTGAGAAATATGGTATGTGTCCACATTTTAAAAATGTATTACAACATGAGACATTGCTGCGAATCCCCTTGCTTCAAACACCCAGCCCATGGCTCTTGCTGCTTTCTGAAGCAGCTCTGGAAGTCTTCATTTGTTCCTATTAGTTGTGCTGTTGCAGCCGGCTTGATGTCTCAAATGGATTCAAAACATTCCCCTCTCATGGTGCTTAGCTTTGGAGGGGAGCCAGGAGTTGCATGGTGCTAGACCCAGTGACTAAGGTGCACACTGTTGTGGGTTTTTTTGTATTTTGTTCTTTGGTTTTTTTTTTTTTTTTTTTTTTTTTTTGAGACAAAATCTCAATATGTAGCTCAGACTATCCCTGAACTCCCTATGGACTAAACTCACTGATCCCAGGCTGACCTTTAATTTACAATGGTCCTCCTGCCTCAGCCTCCTGAACTGTTGTGTTTTTGCTAGCCTGCCTTTCTGTTGGATGGCACGCAGCAGCAGCATTCATCATATTTTTACTACAACTTTTAAAGACATTCAGGAAAGAGGATTTCCAGAACTGCTTCAGAAAGTGGCAAAGTATGATGGTATGATGGGATAAATGTGTCCTAAGTGGGGGGTAGCATGTTTTGAGGGGGGAGTCAATGGTAATGTGTCTATTACTGCAATAAATTTAAAAAAATAAAGATTCACTTTATATTTTGATCACCCAACACAGTCCCTAGCCTCTGTTCTGACATCAGAGGTTTCTTAGCTCGTTTTTGTTGGGCAGCTCTGGCTTGCTTCCCTAATCTGACAGTGGCATTCATTCTGTAAGATGCCTTGGTGTTTTGGGGTTCAGTGCTACCGTAGCTTCACTTTAAACCCTCTGAGTTGCTTCTGGTTTAGGTTACTCTTAAAGCCCAGTGCAGGTGACACTCTTCAAAAAACTCCTCTGAGTGACATTGGTGCCCTCATCTTAGCTTGCTGGTATTTCCACAGACTCAGCCTCCCAGTTTTCATTGCATTTTACCAGCTGCCTCACAAAAACCTTTAAGAGATTGGCAGCATTTTCTCTGTGCTGCATCTTGGTCTGTGTCTGGCATGGTTCTTCATCCTTGGAATTCAAATGGACCTTTGTGCTGATTGAGCTTGGTTGTCAACTCCCTGGATTAAGGGCCCCCTAGAGGGGTGATTGCATCATGGGGGTGCTGTTCACCTCAGTGGACTAACCCACTGATTTCCATAGTGATGCATTGTGAGAAAGTGGGGCCGTGGAAACTCACCTTTGGAGGAGGTATCTCTTGCCAGCCCTCTTTCCCTGTGCTTTTCTTCTTGGATGCCTTGAACTAAGCAGCCTCACTCAACCATTACCTTCTGCCATGGTGGAGCCAGCTGACCATGGACTGAAACTGTGAAACCATGAGCCAAATTAAACTTTTCCTGCTGCAAGTGGTGGGTATCAGGTATTGTCCAGCAATGGGCAAAGTGCCCAGTCACCTTCTGGGTGGTTAGAATAGACATTGAGCAGTACTGGGAGCCACCCTTCTTTTCCACTCTCATTTTTGGTCTTCCCAGGCCATTTGTACACTGTAGGCTATTCTAGACAGCTGGCATCTTTGCATGTGTTTGCGTGTGCCAGGGTAATTGGATTGTCCCCATGTCACTTGTTTGAGATTCTCTCGCAGGTTCAGGGATGTATCTGAACGTTCAGGTATGTAGTGGGGAGGCCACTGGTGTAGCTGTTCTGTGCATAGTTGATTGAACCTGAAATTTAAACATTCATCTTGACAATCTGACCTTCCTAGTGACAGCAAAGGCATTTTCTTTTCATGCTTTGTCAAGCTCATTCTTCATCTATTTGTCCAGAAATGTTTCTGATTATGATTTAATAATTGAAAATCATGCAATTTATTTGTTGGCCTCTGAGCTCAGTATTGACATTAATTCTTATCACAGTATTGGACTGGACAAAGTAATCTAACACCATAAATTTCGCAGAGAAGGAGGGATTCTTCTTATCAGGTTGTAACATAATTCAGCCAGTTGGTTACACATCTGTGTAAATGTCAGCTGTTGTCACGATATTCAAGTGCCTTGCAGTGGACATGAAGAGACTAAAAAATCCTGGGGTGTTTGAGGGCACCCTGCTGGAGTGGCCAGGAATTGTCCTTGTCAGAATTTGGGCTCCAAAGGGACCCCCAATCCTTTGGCCACTGAGAGGATGTCTTGGAGAAGTGGGTCCTGTTCCTGCTCTCGCCTTGTCCTCACTCCTGTGCCTTTTTTCGAGGTCAGAAATCTGCCATGTTGCTCCCTCCTTCTTGTGCTCATCTGTGTCAGTACTGTGTCCTCTCTGCCAGACCGGCCCGTTTGGCAGCCAGTGCTGACTTCACCTGCTTCCCCAAACACCACTCTTTTCTCTTTTCTTTCTCTTTTTTTAGGCAGAGTCTCACTATGTAGTGCAGGCTGACCTTGAACTCACAGAGATCCTCCTTCAGTCTCATGAGTGCTCGTGAGTCCTCATGATTACAGGCATGTGCCACCATGCCTGGCACTGCTGTTTCTTTTCATGATGAAGAGACATGAATTCCAGTTTTAATTACCGGTATCATGTATTTCCCATAGTGGGACCTCACACAGCACATCGGTCTGTTTGAAATGTCTCATAATTTATTTAAAGTCTTCTTTTTATGGTCATTTAGATTGCCACACATTTTTTTCCCTTTTATAAAAGCTAATGCAGTGAACATTCATTTGCTTGTGTCTTTGTG